GAGAGAGAGAGAGAGAGAGAGAGAGTGTGTGTGTGTACCTATTATGGGATCTGGATAAGGGAGCTCTTTAGGACAGTTGTAGTATGCTTCCAAGGAGAACGGCTCTCTCCGGTAAAACGTCAGCACTTTGGAGAAAGGTGCTGCATGGTTCTTTGGGAAGACCTCACAGTCGCTGAAACGACAGACGAAAAAGCAGTGTGAATAAAAACACGATAGTATCAAGCACGACGACTGGACGGCACATGTTTGTACCTGAGTCCATCTTCAGCTGCAGAATTCCACTTCAGAGAGATGGGAAACGGAACCACTTCTGTTATGGAGAACTCGCGCACTTTAAAAGCAGGGGAGAGGATGGCGCACTGTGGGATCAGGAGACAGAGCCAGTGTTAACGGTCTGCTATCAAATACCTGCAGTCTTTGCACTTGACCACATGATGCTTTTTTTGGCCCGAGTGGGTGTGAAGACCACAAGTGTGCACAGAACTTTTCATTACCCGATGGGACTCACTTACAGTGTTATAAAAAATGCAAGTATTTACAGAACTTTATTTTGAGTTCCAATACTTTTGCATTTTAAAATAAACTTGTCTAAATGTCTGTTCAGCATTCTCTATAGCAGACGACAATTTAGTAACTGTGGTGCTTCTATTTAAGTGATTAAAAGCAGTTGCAAGTGCTGTATAAAACGTGACCCTGGAGCACAAAAGCAGTCATAAGTCGCTCGGTGTATTGGTAACAATAGCTAAAAATACATTGTATGGGTCAAAATGATAAAAAAAAAATTTATGCCAAAAATCATTCGGATATTAAGTAAAGACCATGTTCCAAGATGAAGATATTTAGTAAATTTCCTACCGTAAATATATCAAAACTTAATTTTTGATTAGTAATATGCATTGCTAAGAACTTCATTTGGACAACTTCAAAGATGATTTTCTCAATATTTTGATTTTTTGCACCCTCAGATTCCAGATTTTCAAATAGTTAGCTTTCAGATGATGTATAAAATTGACCCTTATGACTGGTTTTGTGATCCAGGGTCACAAATATGCATACTCATCTTTGCACCAATAAAATGTGCAACACTTTACGTTTTACTACCAAATTATATGTAATATCTAATTATTATTAACTTGCACCAGAAAGGTTTCCTCAACATCTCGCGAGATATCAGCAAAAAGTCTCACAATGTATTTCCGTCACAAGATGCATCATGGGATACGCTTTGGCTGCAACTAACGATTCTTTTTTTGATTAATCGATTTATCAGATAACAAGCCTTTTTTGTTTTTATTGACAAAATACACAACTTCCACATGCTGTCCTTCAAACAGAAGTGGCAACTGAATTTTATAAACATACATAAAAGTATGGTGAGTATATCTATATCTATGCTACATATATTGTGTGCGAATGAGTTATAAAGCACAGTTTAAATGGAGAGTTTAAATAGACAAAGGACAGTTTGAATCCCTACACTAAAAATGGAGATAATAATGAAGATAATATAGAAAAACACAAGCTCAGTGTTAACAGATGAGGAATGTTCTGCATGAACACACATTCACTCTGAATACATTATTAACCTGTTACTGTCATTTTTTTCATTCTGTAAATGTAAGGAACATCTTTATATTCAGTGACACGCTGTCGCTGTTATCCCTTTACCGTTACTATCATAAAATTCTTAAATTACATGTTGACTTTTAAACCTAAATTTAACATCCAATAACGTAAAGTAATTATTCACTTTTTAACGCCATGCCAGCATCAAGGCTATTTTCATGGCGATCTCTGAATAAACTATTCAAGGTATAACCTAAAATGAAAGTTTTGCACCGAGGAATCATATCAGCCTGAAGCTTAAAATAAAGCATTCGCATGTTTTGGACAGCTTGGATCACACACCTTTCCCGAAGCAGCTCACTTTGTTTCTTCCACTATTAGATTAATTTAGATTTCATAGAAATGCGATATTCAGTGGAATAATTTGACGCGACTGGCGGAAGTTTTCTGTGCATGGTGGGCAGACGCGACTAAACGTTATTTGCATTTGTTGTCAATTATTTTTATTATCGATTTTATCAATTAGTTGCTGTAGCCCTATGTGACGAGTGGGGGCGTGGCCGTGGGAACGGAGCGAGGCCGGTGGAGTAATTGATAATGAGCGACACCTGCACCACTCACAGGTCTCGAGTCTCACGGAGGAGCTCCAGAAGGATAAAAGGAGGAGCAACGACAGTGAAAGACGAGAGAGGACCAGGCCTGGATTTTATTTTGTGTTTTGGTTCTGTTTGTCTATTTTGTGTTTATTTTATTATTAAAGTTTTGTTTAATGTTCGCCGGTTCCCACCTCCTTCTTCCCGAACTACAAACTGTGTTACACCCTATTAGCCTCGAATGCCGCTCTGAAGTGTTTATTAAGTGTGTGTTACGGGCACTGCACTTTGGCGTTTTTAAGCCCTGGGACAGTCTTGTGCACACACTTCCTGTGACCAAGAGCATAAGTGTGTTTGAACAGGCCCACAGTCTTGTTGAACTATGAGTCAGCAGAGGAAACATAATCTGACCTGGAGGGCACATCCTCTGGCCACAGCCTCATCTGCATTCAGCGTCGTGCTCGGCTCCTTCCCAAAGAACTTGCTGATTCTTTCTTTGATGGCTGGCATTCTTGAGGCTCCGCCCACTATTTCTACAGCATGGATGTCATCTTTCTTCAGATCTGCGCAGGAGCAGGTGACAGGCGGTCGAATTAATAATTTCCGTGACATATAGCCTTACTATCCAATGAAGATCATTACTTACGAGCTTGCTCCATTAGACTGCGCAGCGGAGGCTCCACTCGAGCTAAAACATCAGCACACATCTCTTCAAACTGAGCCCTGCCACAGGAATAAAACGACATATAAAGCTCAAATGAACTACTGTCAGGATGGCAACTTTGATAAGTCCTTTAATTGTGGTTGATGGGAATGAATGAATGTATGACACAGTATAAGCTGTGAATGTAAAAGAAAAGTGCATGAAAAAAAAA